TTTTACACAGCGCTCTGGCTTCCTGTGGTTCTGATCCAGTGTTCATTTTAAGCACGCCTCATTTTTCTCAGAAGACATGTTTGGTCTCAAAGTACCTCTGGGTTAGCTTGTCTGGATCTGTGCTAGCCAACTTCTTATGAAGATGACACTCGGGCAGACTAACCTTGTCACCATCAGGCACAGCCTCTGATGTCAACAAATGCACATATGATGAAGTTTTATTATGAGGAATAAATACAACTTCAGATACAGTAAATCAGTTATCATTATTACTGCAATAATACTGTATGGTTGTCACAAAATCCCACAGCACACCTGGATTTGCCTGACATCACTGGAGTTGGGCACCAGTGCAGTAATGCATATGCGCATGAGGATGGAAAGGAGGCAGCATTTCAGATCCATAAAAAACGTGATCTAGCTCTAATTAGGGATGACGGCTTCTTCCTGTCTGTTAGTTTCGTCTACTGACCTCCGTACAATGATGTCAACCTCATCTCCTCATCAAATCACTATCAATCACAGGCATGTCACAGCATGATTCAGTCAATTTATAATAAGACTGTGCTTCATACTGAAGCCACAGCAATTCCCACAGGAACTTTCCGAGGTCAGAGAAAACAGCAGCGCACTGAAGTAGCCAATTATTCCCACAATATTTTCTCAGGATGCTCTTGTACTTTGTGACTCTCCTGCTATTGATTTTCTCATAAATGCTGAATACCAATACTTGCTGATTAGTTTACTACCATTACTTTTGGTCAGCATTAAAAGATTGTAAATATATTACTGCAGCTACAAACTGAGCCAAGCCGTCTGACCACAGAGGCGGGGCGGCGTGCTGCACTGCAGTTTTGCTGATAATCATTTACACCAGTCCAAGGAGAGCAAGAACGCTTTCATCACGGATGAGTCAGAGACACAGCACTCCAACAAATGGTTAATGAACATCCAGAGGGAGCTTACATTCTCCTGCTTGTCTCGAAATGTTTACAAGTGCACCCAGTACAAAGACATAATGAGATCAACTCTGGTTCCTGTGTCTCCCTGCTTGTTTTTGCCTGGTGGATCCCTGTTTGTGGATTATGTAAATTTTTTATTAGCGAACCAGATAAAGACTAAGGACAATACGCACGACGCAGAGGGCTAACAAAAGACAGGTGAACTCAATTTAGACGAGAACAAAGGACGAAAGTAAAAACTCCACATGAGGAACTAAACTGGAAAATTAAATGGGAAACAAACAAAGAACAAACTCTCCATACAGCGAACACGATGCAGACGGGGGTCCACAAAAGACCAGGCGCCAGGGTTACAACAGAAAAGGATGATTTGAATATTTGCTGGGATGTTGTTGGACTTCTGTAGTTCCTCATTTTGAATCATTTTAAGATGAGCAGTCATAATGAGACATTTCCAAACATATGCTTTCTTGCAATCATCACTTATTGTGCAATATTGTATCAGATTTAATTAAAATTGTAGTCACAGTTAACATTATATATAACCAATCACCACATGGTGCATATTAGAGTTGTCTACATTTTATTGTCATTGGCAGCATCAGGACCACACACTCTTTGCATCCTAACTGCTGTGCAAATGTCTGCGTTCTGCAAATTTGTGTGTGGATATTTTTTTCACATGTCAAAGTTGCAATCATGAGTCGACTGAGCTTCCATAAAAATCAGAGCCATGCAACTTGATTCCCTCGGCTAATAATATATATGTGCAGTTGATTGCATGAGTGTCTTAACAGTTAGTGCTCGAGTCAGCATGTCTTTTATTATTAGGAACTGAATTTTGATGAGGTGGCAGATATGGATTTTAGTCAGATGAATTATAGATTGATCTCAGCATGTAAACATGTAGGGCACTGCTGTGTGTGTGTGTGTGTGTGTGTTGTGTGTGCTGAATTTCTTGGCAGATTGATGCCTGTGTGTGACCTGCAGGCTCTCGTTGTTAGTCATGGGCTCGGTGGAGCACTCCGCTCTCAGTGTGTAACCTTGGGAGGAGCATACACACCCTCTGCAAGCTCCCACTCTACCAAATAAAGCCCTATACATTTAAATGCAGCAGCTCATCTATAATTCATATCAATACCATATCATGCAAACAATCTATATCAAGGTCCTGCCTCTGATGCTCGGGGCACTGCTCGTTTCCATCTCGTGAGCAGTTTGTATTATGATAAACTCTATGCCTGTGTCTTTATGGAATCGTGCAGTGTTTCCCTGTCTGCTCTGCTGAGGCTGGGATTATCAGGGTGTGTCTTTGGAGCAAGACTGCAGGAGGTTTCCTCTCCTGCCGGAGGTGCTGCTCGTAAAGCTGCCCTAGAGCCAGAGCGCCATCTGCTGGTCAAATACACAAAGCGAAAGAGGCCGAGGTGTGGTCTGCAGAAGCTGGATTCGAAATGTGAAGTGAAAGATTAATAAGAGCTTTTGAGAGTGGTCCAGGTGTCCCCAGGCTGTGGTTCCCATTACGGAAGTCAGATCACCTCCAAGAGATCATAAGATTAATCTGATGGGCCAGAGGACCATCAGATTAATCTTACGAAGGATGAGAGAGAAAATCGAGGCTGTAATCCGCACTACAAAATGACATTGAATTGAATAAAAGTCAGGATAATTTTATTTATATAGCCACTTTTATCACAATTCCTTTTGTGAAACACATTATAGTTCATATCCTCAGGCTTTGTCAGTGTTATGAAAGGATTCAAATCTGTTACTTTAAGGATTGTACTTCATATTATAGGATGTCTAATTTGAATCAGTGAAACCTTCACTTTATCTGTACCTTTAGTTCCTCAGAGGAAAAGTTACAATGTACCAATTTCTCAAGCAGAAAGCATCACTCCGTCGTTCTTTTAGATTACTCTGAATAAGATTTTGTGTATTTAAAAAAAAGGTTTCTCTGCACTGAAAACTTGCAGTGAATAGTTTCTCTACTGAAGTGAGCTTTATGTTTTTAGACAACAACAGTCTCTATGAGAAGTTTCAGTCTGGTTTTAGAGCTCGTCACAGCACTGAAACCGCCTTACTGAGAGTTTTTAATGATTTGCTTTTAACTGTAGACTCTGGTTGTGCTGCTGTCCTAGTAACCTTAGACCTGACAGCATCCTTCGACACTGTTGATCACAACATACTGTTATCCCGCCTAGAACACTGTGTCGGTCTGAAAGGTACTGTTTTAAAGTTTTTCCAGTCCTATCTGGATAACAGGAGTTTTTCTGTTCACCTCGGTGACCTGTCATCTCCCAGAGCTCCTTTAACTTGTGGTGTACCTCAGGGGTCCATTCTAGGCCCCCTGCTGTTTA